GTCGGGGAAAGGGCCCCTCCCAGCCCCCCGCCACCACTGAGCGTGTGCAGAATGGTGACAGGGTTCTGGGGGGAAGGCGGCCGGGAGGGTCTCGGGCTCCAGCTTGACAGGTGTCGGGCGGGTGGGGCTCGGGTCCCTGAGCGAAGTGACAGGTGCAATCTTTCCTCGAGCGAGAGGAGGCTCGAAGGCGGCGGGAAATTGTGAGCCTCCATCAAATGCAAAAATTAAAATAAAAGATATATATAACTAAAAGACTGTTGTCTGTTGGAGTTTTTCTCCTATTGCGATCTGGAGTACTCCGGTGGTCGTTGGCTTTCTCTTTTGATATCATGCAACAGTTGGGAGGATGTTCCTCTGGGTTTGGACAGCCCTGGGAGGCCAACCACCCAACCCTTGGAGATGCAGTGCAAAGTCCTGGGTGTCAGCTATCCAGTGTTCTCGCCTGAGGGGCTAAGGGGCTTTCTGGGGTTCCCTTAGAACAATGCTTTGAGGCCTTAGGGATATAAAGCCAGCTGTAATGACCGGTGGACCGTAACTCTTTAGCGGAACTAGTAACGGGGCAAAAGTTTCATGAGATTTAATACAAGTACTTGAAAATTTCTAAACTCCCCCGTTGCGTAGAACTCAGCGCTCATTTGTCGGCCTCAATATGTCTCGTTATTTCTAACACTTTGCCTTTTAACGGAGCCACTAAGGAAACGGGTGTCCCTTCCTTTGGATTTTGTTTGCTTTCGGTACAATATTCGCGGCGTTTCTGTGCTCACACGGACTTTTTTTCTTCCTTACTAAATGGAATCTAAATTTAAGCAAGTCCGTGTGAACGCAGTCGACCGCGACAGAGAGATACTTATTGTACTGCGGCATCTTATTTTTGATTGTACTACTTTGTGAGTACATAGCTAAGACTGAACGTATATAATTGTCATCATCGTTAGCACTAATTCTGCTTTGAGACTCCAGATCCATTGCAAGGAAAAGGGACTCGTTTCTGTCCCTCACTGCTCCGTCCCCCATCCTAGTCTATTAACAATTCCTGTTTTACCCTCACCATTTCTGTCCACTCAGCAGACCCTGACAGAATTCAGGGCAAATTGTTAAAAACTGGAATACGATTGTGGGAAGCGATTAAAAATTTATATATTTAGGGTCGGCTCCGTGGAGCAGCGGAATGCGCGGCACAGGCGGCGGCGGATCCCATATGCCACCGCCGTGCGAATGTCATCCAGGTTGGTCAGAAACAGTCCGGCAGTGGGAGAGTGCCCAGTATCCCAGGGCGGGAGGATTGGGAGGAAGGGGATCGCAGTGAGCGTGTGCAGAATGGTGACAGGGTTCTGGGGGGAAGGCGGCCGGGAGGGTCTCGGGCTCCAGCTTGACAGGTGTCGGGCGGGTGGGGCTCGGGTCCCTGAGCGAAGTGACAGGTGCAATCTTTCCTCGAGCGAGAGGAGGCTCGAAGGCGGCGGGAAATTGTGAGCCTCCATCAAATGCAAAAATTAAAATAAAAGATATATATAACTAAAAGACTGTTGTCTGTTGGAGTTTTTCTCCTATTGCGATCTGGAGTACTCCGGTGGTCGTTGGCTTTCTCTTTTGATATCATGCAACAGTTGGGAGGATGTTCCTCTGGGTTTGGACAGCCCTCGGAGGCCAACCACCCAACCCTTGGAGATGCAGTGCAAAGTCCTGGGTGTCAGCTATCCAGTGTTCTCGCCTGAGGGGCTAAGGGGCTTTCTGGGGTTCCCTTAGAACAATGCTTTGAGGCCTTAGGGATATAAAGCCAGCTGTAATGACCGGTGGACCGTAACTCTTTAGCGGAACTAGTAACGGGGCAAAAGTTTCATGAGATTTAATACAAGTACTTGAAAATTTCTAAACTCCCCCGTTGCGTAGAACTCAGCGCTCATTTGTCGGCCTCAATATGTCTCGTTATTTCTAACACTTTGCCTTTTAACGGAGCCACTAAGGAAACGGGTGTCCCTTCCTTTGGATTTTGTTTGCTTTCGGTACAATATTCGCGGCGTTTCTGTGCTCACACGGACTTTTTTTCTTCCTTACTAAATGGAATCTAAATTTAAGCAAGTCCGTGTGAACGCAGTCGACCGCGACAGAGAGATACTTATTGTACTGCGGCATCTTATTTTTGATTGTACTACTTTGTGAGTACATAGCTAAGACTGAACGTATATAATTGTCATCATCGTTAGCACTAATTCTGCTTTGAGACTCCAGATCCATTGCAAGGAAAAGGGACTCGTTTCTGTCCCTCACTGCTCCGTCCCCCATCCTAGTCTATTAACAATTCCTGTTTTACCCTCACCATTTCTGTCCACTCAGCAGACCCTGACAGAATTCAGGGCAAATTGTTAAAAACTGGAATACGATTGTGGGAAACGATTAAAAATTTATATATTTAGGGTCGGCTCCGTGGAGCAGCGGAATGCGCGGCACAGGCGGCGGCGGATCCCATATGCCACCGCCGTGCGAATGTCATCCAGGTTGGTCAGAAACAGTCCGGCAGTGGGAGAGTGCCCAGTATCCCAGGGCGGGAGGATTGGGAGGAAGGGGATCGCAGTGTGACCAGACCCTGTGGAGAGTGCTTCTCTTTTCTCTACTTTATGCGCACGCACGCACGCACACACAGTCGCGAGTAAAGGAAGAAAAATTATATTACCGGTCATTTTGAAAAATCATACTAGTAAAAACAAAGAGGTCTAGGGGATGTTCCAGGAGATCACTTTAGTTTCTGATTAAATTCCGATGTAGCCAATACTTGCAAGTTTCCCTTTGGAAAGAGCTGTCATGACCATCCGAAAGGATTCCGTGTTACATACATAGCTTTGGAATTTTCTCAACCAAAGAATATTGAAGTTCTGGCCATTCTGCGATCTTGGGCATGCACACACGTTCCTGGTGTGTTTCAAGCCACAGGGTCCAGAACTCCAATCACAGCCAGCCATGTAGAAATCCAGCGACATAACCACTGTACCATCCGCTGACCCCAAGACATTATTTTATAAACTTTTAAATAATGAAACTATCAAAAATTCTCCTGTAAACCAAAACAATGAAAAATACAATCTGTTCCTGATTATCCATACCCACAAAGGGTTTCTTTAGCATGGACAATCGAACTTCATAGATCAACCACTTAGGAAGGATAGAATGATAGCCTGGCGGTCAGAAGCTGAGAAACTTGCTTAGGCGGGATTCAGGGCCCAATACAACTGTACTTCCACTGACGGAGACCATTTCTACTTTGGGAGCTGAGATCTTATTTCTGTTGCATAAAGTGGTTGGAAGGGAAGCTGTCCGTCAAAACAGCATGTCCCCCCCCCCCTTTTTTTTTGGAGAGGTTTTCGCTATAGGGCGCGTGTGCTCGCCAAGCAGAGACAGAAAGAAAGCGAGAAATAACCCCCCAGGGAGGATGGCCACGCAGCAATCCCTTCTCCTCCATTCTCCTCTTGGGTCCTAGGGCACGCACGCACATGCGCCCTGCATGAGTTTTAAGCAGCCGGTCTGGGAGGGGAACCGCGGTCGACTACGTGGGAGTCCAGCGACATAGCCATTACGCTAACTGGGTCCCCATGTCCCTTTCATTGTTGATAAGTTACGTTTTGAAGGAGGAATTGGCAGTCTAAAATAATGATCAAGGGCATGGATTATGGAGTTAAGACTGCTGGGTTTATATCATGGTTTCTCTTTTATGGCCCATGACCTCAGGTGAGTGCTTTAACTTCTTTGACTTGGCAGTCATCTGTAAAATAACGCTAAAGAGAGTAATGACCTATAAGGTTGATGTAGGAATTTAGTGAAATCATGCATCTGAAGTGCATGAATAATTCCAAATCTATGTATGGGGCCATAGTAAATACTAAAAAATTATTACTTATTCCTCATATGATTATTACTGTTATTAGATGTCAAATGAATTAAAAGGAACTTCCAACAAGAATTTATTGAATGCCTATCTTGTATTAAAAAATATTTAGAAAGGACTGAACTAAGCGATACAACAATTTACATCAAGTTAGTAATCATCATGGAAGAGGGGTTTTAGGTAGAGAGACTGTATGAAACATTGATACAAGAAGACCACAGTTTAGCAAAACACTGGCATTGAATTGGTTGCATAATATTATCTATGGGCCTTTCTCTTCCGGATAGGCTGTATTATCCCCGTGTTCTTTAAGAGCTTTAGCTTTTGTACTTATTTTCCTTCACTAAGCTGTTTTGCTTCTCTGAAGTTTATTTAACTCACATGCCTGCAAATATATTTCACTATGTCGTATCCTTATCTTGGAAAGGACCTTGAAAGAGATAAATGTGTTGAAATTCTAAGTGCGATTTTTTTCAAACATCAAATAAGATCTTAAAGCACTTAGTGATGCTTTCTTTCAAAATAAGGCTATTATGTTCAATCCACTGAAATAAATGTTTACTTAATCAGTTTGATATGTAAGTATGTGCATATTATTTGATTATTTTCGTTTGGTAGGCTTGAGTTTGAAGAAACTGAAGATCCTGATTTTACTGCATTATGTCAGAAATTAAAAATACCAGATCATGTCAGAGAAAGAGCTTGGTTAACTTGGGAGAAAGTTTCATCTGTGGATGGAGTCTTGGTAAGGCTTTTCTTAAACTTTTTTAAAGAACATTTTTTTCTCATTTATGAAATCATTTCAAATCACTGTCGGAAGTTTGGAACATGTTAAAAAATATAAGGAACATAAAGGCAAAACTTGGTGGTACAGCAAACTGAACTGTGGTACTGAAAGCCATGTGGCTGACTGCAGGTGTGGATCCTGAGTTTGGCTTGAAAATGTGCTGGATGCCTGCACTTATGCCCCCACCCCCATCCTGAGAAATAGGAGGACCAGGAAAGGAGGATCACAGCATGACCAAACTGTCAATGGTGTTTCTCTTACCTGCACACATGCACATGCTGCCTGTCATTAATAAATAACCTTTTTTAAAAGGCTTGTAATAATTCTATTACCCAAAGGTAATTTACCTCTGATAACATCTTAAAGTATTCAAAAAAAAAAAATCTTACCACATAAGCCTTCATCAAAGTATTTTTAAGAATTATTTATTATTATTCTTCAATTTGACCAGAGACAGAGTGAGTGAGAAAGCACGTCGCCAGGACTGGGACTCGAACTGCAGTCAGCCATGTGGGAGTTTAGCACCGTAACCACCACACTACCTGTTGGCTCCCCAATCAAAGTTTTTTAAAGGAAATCTTAAATATATTTTATTTATGAATACTTCTCTATGATACAAGGACTTTTAAAAAACACATCCATATCTTATAATTTTTATTATCTTCTAATATGCAATCAGTGCTAAGATTCCTTGTGTCAGAATGTTTTGTTAGAAGTCTTTGATGATATTTTGATAATTTTTAAAATTTTTATTTGCACATGTATGTATATATGTATAATAATAATAGCGGATAATTGCTTTTGTTAAAAATTTTACATGTATATTCATGAATCTCTCATTAATTGGTAATTTTATATTTTTCAGTTATAGTTTTGGCTAGTTTTATGTTAGAATAATGTTGCCTCATAAACTAAACTGAGAAATAGTTTTTCCTCTTTAGTTTTTTTTGTTAAGAGTATGTATAAAGTTAGTATTTCTTCCTTAAATGTTTGGTAAAGTCATATGGGCCTAGAGTTGTCTTTGTGTGTGTGTGTGTGTGTGTTTTTTAAAGTTTTGTTCTAGGGTGCATGATTTCTCCAGAGACAGACAGACAGAGAGAGAAAAAGAGTATGAAAGTGAGAAATCATCCCCTAAGGGGGATGGCCACACCACAACCCTTTTTTCTCCATTCTCCTCTTGAGATTTTGGGCATGCATACATACACGTCCAGCTTGTTTTTCAAGCTGCTGGGTCCAGGACTGGAATCATGAAGTTGGCCATGTGAGATTCAGCACCTTAACCACCTTGCCACCTCCTGGCCCCAAGGAAGGTTTATAACTATAAATTCAACTTCTTAAAAATACATTGGGCAATTGAGGTTTACTTAATTTTTTGAGTGAGCTTTTGTACTTTTTATTTTTAAAGGAATTTATCCATTTTGTCATCTAAGTTATTCAATGTAATGGTATAAAATTGTTTATGATGATGTGTCTATATTATGTCTAACATCTTATCTTAGTGTACCTTACTATAATATATATATATATATATTAGTATCTGTGTGTTTCTATATTATGTCTAACATCTTAGTGTAACTTAATGTGATATATATTAGTATCTACAGTATATGTATCAATTATTAATGTAGTATATAGTGAAATTACTTTCTTAATCCTTATAATGTTCTTTAGTGTGAAATCTGAGATTAACATAGCCATTTCAGCTTTCTTTTGATAAGTTTAGTATAGCAATACTTTTTTTTTTTTTTTTTTTAAATTTTTTTTCTATGGTGGTGGTATACCC